AAAAAAAAAAAAAAAAAAAAAAATGTATATCTTTCCAGGCCTGGACTACAAAGCAAATTCAAAGCCAGCCTGGACTATATAGTGAGACCCTGTCACAAAAAAGGAAAATGTGCGTATTTTTCCTGAAACTGAGCTGGCGGCACATGCCTGGAGCACTCAGGAGGCTGAGGTAGGAAGATTGGTGTGAGTTCCAGGCCAGCCTGGATTACAAAGCAGAACCCTGTCTCAAAAAAAAAAAAAAAGAAAAACTGGAAATGACCTAAAAAGACCATCAGGGTACGGTGCCACACTTCCCATCCCAGCTCTAGGAGGCTAAGCCAGGGTTTGTAAATCAAATCCAGCGTGGGCAATGAAGCAATTTAAGACTCTCTCAAAATTTTTATATATATATATTTTTATATTTTTATATAAATATATATATTTTTAAAGGGCTGGGGATGTAACATGGTTGTGAATCCCCAGTACTGAAAAGTAAAGTTATTATCACATACAATGTAAATGAATTTTAAAAACATGTTAAGTGAAAGAGGCTCACAGGGTTCATACGTGGTTATTCCACTGACCTGAGGTCCAAGAACACAGAAGACTCATGTCAGCGACAGCACAGGAAGTGGTCTGCATGTGTTTTACATTGCTCTTCTAGCAACGTATCTCAACTAATGGCTTCTGCAGGTCAGAGCCTGATCTGGGTCTCAGAAAGCTGCTCTTCTTCCAGGAGCGCTAAAGGAGTCTGTTTCCTTGATCATTCCCGTTGCTGGCTGAGTTTAGTCTTTCTGGATGGATGGCCGCGATCCCCTGCCTTGGCTTCCTCCATCTGCGAATCCAACAACAGCAGATCACTGACCCTCCTGCTTCAAGCCTCTGACCATCTCTCACTGTGCGCCCTCGACTGGCCCTTTGGCCTTTCTCTTCCACTGTAAAGAGCTGTGGGATTCTCATGGGCACCCGTCGATAACCTCCCCAGCTCAAGGAATTCAAAGTCCCTTCTGCCAAGGTAAGTAACGTTCAGACATTCCAGGCAGAAGGGCACAGACACGGATAGGGAACGCATCACTGCCCACAGCCACATAGAGGGACGGCGGCAGGTGGCATGCTGAGGACGCGGGAGCCAGTGGCCACATGGCAGAGTCGATGTATTTCCAAAGGATCTCAATACACAGGAGGGGAGGGCCAAAGGGATCTGTGGAAGGCTTTTGCTCAAGCCAACATACTCACTGCCTCTTATTCATAGTTTGTCTTTGAAGATAAAAGATGAATCAGGGGCTGGGGATTTAGCTCAGTGGCAAAAGCGCCTGCCTGGCAAGCGCAAGGTCGTGAGTTCGGTTCCCGGTACCAGGGAAAAAAAAAAAAAAAGATGAATCTGACACAAACCCCACCTTCAATATACTTACTATAGTACGTAAGGTAAGGCATGTACACAACAGTCTCTAAAGACAGAAAAAGCTCAGCACTGTGACACATGCGTCATTCCAGCTACCCAAGACTGAGTCGGGAAGGTTGCATGTTCCAGGCCAGCCTTGGCCACACAGTAAGACCCTGTCCCTCTGGCCCCCTAAAAATAAAAAAAATACAAAGATTTAGAGAGATTTGGTGTCCTAAGAGTGTCCAGGTTCACAATATGGAGCTTACTTACAGCGCGGGCTTCACAAAGGAGGCGGCGTTTGACAGACATGGGACCCATGAGGTTCGGAAGTGCGATAACAAAGCATCGTCCCACCAAGAGTGAGCTGTGTAAACCCGTTCTTAGTTCAGTTTGTTTAGGCATGGAATTAGTAGGCCGATGGCTGGAAAAGAAAGTTAGAACCCCGGT